AGTGAAACATCCGGTTATAACTTAGGCTTGATGAAAATAAATAGAAATGTAGCCTTAAACTCAACAAATTATTTTCAAGTTCTCTGGATTTGCAACTTTTATAGCATTTATTCTAAGAATATAAAATTTCTAAATTAATTTTAGGCTTAAGTTTTTATTTTTTATTTTTTTTTACGGTCTAAATCTAAAAAGCACGTTTTTATTCCATGACAACAACATTATGGAAGGAATCTCGTCAACTCGCTCGCCTCCATTGTGCAAAATATTAGTATGCTAATATGGGATTGCTTATTATTCATTTAATATTGAATACTTCATATTTTGCTTAGGTCATGTGATTGAATGGTAATACTGTGGAAAACAAATGAAGTCATGTATACTTAAAAGACTAACAATTGTAATAAGAAAAATAACAATGTGTAAGGTACGCTTAAAACAAAAATGCTGGTATTAGTGAACAGATTGCCAAAATTGACCGGGGATAGTGTTTATAGTTGGCATGCTAAAAAAATTAACATTGCTATTTTGACTCTTGATAGTGGCTAAAATAAATGCCTATCATACCATTTACATATATATACTTATATTTTTTATCCATCATTCCCCCCCCCCCCCCCCTCCCCTTCTCAATTTTTAATTCCATTGCTAACTGTGAAAGGTGTTACTGACTGTTCACATAGTTTTGTAGAATTTCCTGTAGTTTGTTTTAACTATTTCCGTTACCGAAAGGTTGCAAATTAGCCTGTATTAGTTACTGAGTGCCACATTGAATATATAATAATTATTATAATAATGAACTGCACTTTAATACTCCACTTTTAACTCTACACCTTTTAACTATCAGCAGCAATTATTGTAGGCTAGTTTCTAGTCGGCTTCGCATGTTGATGTGTTGACTTTGCTACTTAAAAAAAGACCTTTTTATTGAAACATGAAACTTTCTGGTTGTGTGAACTTTTTATGGCGTCACTCTATCCTTGTAACACGACCCATTTATTTTCTATATACCTTTTTGTATGAACTAACATGAAACCGTAACGGTGAAGGTTAATTTATCTGTTACTATGTTTATGACATTTTTTTTTACTTCGAAATTTGCAATAACCACAAGGTATAAATATATTTATTAGATGTTTATTAAACAACTACTATTTGTTCTTCCAACTTGTGCAATGCGATTTTTTTAGATTTAACTTTGCTTTTAAAACAATTTCTCACTACCTAGCTTTTACTTATTAAATAGATTTCTCTGTTTCACTATTTCCTTGTTACAATATATATTTATAACTAGCCTTTAACCCCCATTTTCTGAGTTCTATTGAAAGCTTTTCAAAATTCTATTTAAACATTTTATTTACTATTTGTATATGAATTTTAGCATTGTTTATAGCATATACGCCTCCTTAATCACATATAGGCCTATACCTACACGATGACTGACAAACTATTGTGACAAAGGCATGACTTTTTTTTTGTTTCCGTTTGTGTAGAACAATTGTTGGTTGGCTTGTACTTATCAACGATTGATGCTCGTCAAAAATTGATGCTCGTCAAAAATTGATGCTCGTGTGTTCTTTCGTGTACAAAGATTGATACTCGTGTTTTGTTGATACTCAAGTGTTTTGTATTGTTAGAATGATACTCCTGGTTTATTTTTGATACTCGTGTTCTAAATTGTACGATGTATGATACTCATGTGTTATGTATTGTTAGAATGATACTCCTGTGTTCTTGGTTCATTTTTGATACTCGTGTTCTTAATTGTACGATGTATGATACTCTTGTGTTATGTATTGAAGGATGTTCATATGTGGGCTGTATAGAGCAAGGATACTCTTGAATTCCTCCGTAAACTGCTTTGTATATAGTTATATAAGCATGTAAGCAAATACTTTACACTGGTAAATGCTAGTTTCAACTAGTAGATTTTTGTTTTGCCACCTTCCTACCATCAACGGACAACTACTGTTACAATTACAGACGGTTTAGAAATTGAAATATTCCTGCTGATTCAGCTTTCATGAAATATTCGTTCACTTCCTTACCATTACCTGCAAGGCACGCGATTCCCAACTCATTTTGCTTGTGTACCCGCTTTGTGAAAACTCACACTAGTACTGACCAGCTTTGTGACAACTCACACAAGTACTGACCGTGATTTGTGACAACTCACACAAGTACTGACCAGCTTTGTGACAACTCACAAGTACTGACCAGATTTGTGACAACTCACACAAGTACTGACCAGCTTTGTGACAACTCTAACTTAAACTGACCAGCTTTGTGACTACTCTCACTAGTATTGACCAGCTTTGTGACAACTCACACTAGTACTGACCAGCTTTGTGACAACTCAGACGAGTACTGACCAGCTTTGTGACAACTCACACGAGTACTGACCAGCTTTGTGACAACTCACACTAGTACTGACCAGCTTTGTGACAACTCACACTAGTACTGACCAGCTTTGTGACAACTCACACTAGTACTGACCAGCTTTGTGACAACTCACACGAGTACTGACCAGATTTGTGACAACTCACACAAGTACTGACCAGCTTTGTGACAACTTGATACTAACAAGTATTTTGACAACTATTACTTTGTGACTTACGACGTGTAAAGCATGTAGTAGATTGGTCGAGCCTCAAGTTGTTTAAACCCTCAAACCCGTAGTTTTTAAAAGTGATCCAATATTCATTTTTTGATACCCAAATTAACTAGTTAGTTTCCCTATTTCCCCAGTATTAGAATGTTGTAACTGTAGCATCGATTAATAAACGGAAAAAAATTCCAATATTAAGTATTGTATTGAATATAGATAGGCCTATTGTATCTTTGTTAGTTAAAAAAAAGTCACATGTCGAAGTTGACTTTATTTAGGTAAGAAAGACTAAGTCGAAGTTGACCAATTAGATTCACCAATCTACGCACGTGCTGGTCCCGATCATCTGGTGAGCACCCGTTTTTTTCGACAGATTTTAACGTCTGCTCGCTTGATGAAAAACACAACCGGTAACATTTTTAGACGCATCTGTTAACAAAATAGACCATGACGTGAATTTGACGATGTTGACGTGAGGGGAATAAAAATGTTACCAGTTGACACGCGCCCTGCTTTCGCTTTGAGAGAAGCAGTGGCAGAAAGATGCACGCTCGGTCTTTTTATATTTTCTCTTTTATTAAAAGATGCATCTTTCTTTTTAAATCTTAAAGATAAATTGACCGTGGCTTTTTATAGCCAACAATGCCATTTTTTTCTCTTCAAAATTTAAAAGTGGAAACAACAAAATGGCAATACATTTTTAACCATGCCACAGGCGGTCCCAAGCCCGCTCAAAAAATGGGAGGGAAAATGTATTGCCTCGTGACGTCATCAAGCCTTTTTTAGACAGAACGTAAACATCCAGTTAGAGGAGTGGACATCGGTAATCATCCAGTTGAGGAGTGGACCTGGGTATTCATCCAGTTAAAGGAGTGGACCTCGGTAATCATTTAGTTAAAGGAGTGGACGTCGGTAATCATTTAGTTAAAGGAGTGGACGTCGGTAATCATTTAGTTAAAGGAGTGGACGTCGGTAATCATCCAGTTGAGGAGTGGACCTGGGTAATCATCCAGTTAGAGGAGTGGACCTGGGTAATCATCCAGTTGAGGAGTGGACCTGGGTAATCATCCAGTTGAGGAGTGGACCTGGGTAATCATCCAGTTGAGGACTCATCTCACCAACCATGTAATAAGCGGACTGGACTCGTGTGAAGTTTAAAGCCTCTATTCTGCATGGAGTTAACAGCAGAAGGCCGCTGGTGTACCTTGGGGAGGAAGATGTTTTAGGTTTGTCTCCCCACGGAGAGAGTAGCTGTATAGCTCTACTTAAAACTGCCTTTCTTTTTGCTTGTTAAGTATCAGTAAAAGGTATTTTACGCTTCACATGAAAGAACAATTAATTGTTGAACTTAATACAAATACAAACACATTTTAAAGAACGATTTGCAAACTAAATACAAACACACAACCACATATTACAGAACCATTCTTAAACTTAATTCAAGCACATATTAAAGAACAATTATTAAACTTAAAAAACATTACCATACCCAAATCTTATTAGTTTGTCGGTTTTAATTAAGGCTCAACAGGGTTGTATGTTAGTACATTTGAATAAAGTGATGTATAAAGAATAATCGATATGCGTTTTTTCCTGATGTATATAATCTGTGACGTTTGTTATGATTCTTCTTGTGTACTCTGCCCACGAGTTTTTCAACGGAGTAGATCAAAACCTATACCACCTAGCTCCAGACCAACGTACACCACCTCACATAGCACGACACACCATACCAAAACCCACAAACCACCTCACACATAGCTCGACACACCATTCAAAAACCCACACACCACCTCACATAACACGACACACCATACCAAAACACACATCACCCCACATAGGACGACATACCATACCAAAACACCTCACATAGCTCGACACACCATACCAAAACACCTAACATAGCACGACACACCATACAAAAACACCTCACATAGTACGACACACCATACCTAAACCCAACCAAACCCCTTCCCAACACACACATTACACACATGGGGGTCGCAACGGGCTTTCTGGGGGGTCATAGCTAGACTAAACTCTTGCTATGAAAAAAAAAATATTTAGAAAAACGAACTTTCGATAATTTGGCTCCCGACAGAGAGCTAATTTTTTTCAGTTGCATAATTGTCTGGAGCATATTAGTCGGGAACCACATTGTCGGGAGTAAATTCCTTACCAAGTACATACAACTGACACTCTTTTTGATGTGTGTTAACATAAAGATTAACAGAAAATAAACCCACAAATCAACAAAAAGCATCGTAACCATAACATACAAAAACACCCAATAGTTATAATTCATAATTGATAGAAACTAAAAATCAAACACCATCACAAATAGTTCTGAACTCTTTAATATCAATGTTTAATTTAAACTTTTATTGACTGACAACAAGTCATATTATTATCTCATCGGTCAACCTCATATCCCGACTTAATCTACATTTCACACAAAAACTTATAGTTGCCTGGCGGTTCAAAAGACACATCATTCATTTGGTAGTTGTACGTTCGATGGATGGACATAAAATGTTCTTTACCTTGGTAGTTGGACGGATTTCCAGTCGACCAGTCAAAAAATTTGACAGGTTCCATGCTGGTCTGAAACACCCAATAGCCCTCCTTGGTCATATCATTTCCAGAAAGCAGCAGACCTTCAGTGTTTTTATTCCTGGCCAGGGTTTGCACAAACCTGAATTCACCTTCGGTGTTGATTTCTGCCAGGTACCAGCCACACGACAAACACATCCTTTCCGCTTGTTGCGCGTCTAGGTAGTAGTAGGTAGATTGATAATACCGATGTCCGTTGTAATCAGCAGGGGGTTCAAACATATTATTAGTACTGCTTTGGCAATCTATAGAAGCACTGCTAGTAACTGTGGAAAAATAGTAAAATTATATAAAGGCTTTAAAAACGACTAACGAAGAAAAACGGTAATGTTTTAACAGACTTAAAAAAATTAATCCGGAGAAGGCCCTAAAACATTACGACATGTGGAACTTACTAAAGCTGGAAAAGGCCCTAAAACATTACGACATGTGGAACTTACCAAATCCGTAGAAGGTCCTAAAACATTACGACATGTGGAACTTACTAAAGCTGGAAAAGGCCCTAAAACATTACGACATGTGGAACTTACCAAATCCGTAGAAGGTCCTAAAACATTACGACATGTGGAACTTACTAAAGCTGGAAAAGGTTCTGAAACATTACGACATGTGGAACTTACTAAAGCTGGAAAAGGTCCTAAAACATTACAACATGTGGAACTTACCAAAGCCGGATAAGGCGTGAAGCAACAGAGCGATGAACAGCAACATGTTGGTCGAATCTCTTCAGGAACAGCCGAGAGGATGTATCCTAATGGCTGTGTGGGCTGGGTTTTACGGTATGCTTGTAAATTAAATACAACAGGTGTGCGAGCATCTGATGTTTATGTCATTCCCGGTGCAATAAAAATTGTCATTTCAACATTATTGAGAAAATAGTCTAAATAAAGGGGCAATTTTAGGCCTGGATTGCCTTATAAGGTCAGTGATATCTTGGTTTGACTCAAGAAGTCATCGCTATGCTTTTTGTGTTCCACATTGCTAAGTGCGTTTTATTCATTTGACGGCTTGACTATATTTAACGCATTAATTAATACAGGGACCCTACAAGCATACAAGTTCCATGACAACCATCATCGCTGTATTCTACTTTGAGGCCTACAACAATGACGTAAATAAGCTTTTTTAATTTTCCAGTTTTCGCTTTTAAATAGCCTACACTCTTAGGTTGATGTTGTTTTTACACAAAATTTAAATTGATGCTTTCGCCTGTGGTTTGTTCTTGTCAACATAGAATTTGAAAGCAATACACTAATATTTGTAAATGCAGCTTTTGTGTTATTTTTATTACTTTTATTATCAAAACGAAAGTTGAAAAATTACGGGTCTGTTAGCTGGTAATATTGGGTATGGTAATGCTTAATTATATGTTTCCTTCGGCCTGAATAATGAGCAATGCTTTGATCAGTATAAACGTATAAAAGAGAGGTTAACCCATTCACATTGTTCTCTAATATGGAGATAGGGTAAAAGTGATAAAATTGGGAGCGAGAGAGTAGCAGTAAGAAATTCTACTTACACTGTCACCCCTGCACACCGTTCTAAAATAATCGAGGACGGCGGAACAACAAAATATTGATCATTTCATAACATTTCAATGGCTCTAGCTTATTGACTGTTCCGTCTTTTGGTACATTACATTTTTGATGACTATTTTGTTTCGTTGTGTTTGTGCTATCTTTATTGGATTCTTTTTTTTTGGTGCAGTGTTTGTGTTCCTCTTGTTGAATTGGAATAGGGGGATGTAACGAGAATAACAAAGTTTGAATTTGGGGGCGGGGAGGTGGTGGGGGAGACACAGCATTGAATTGATAGTTTGCGCTGGAATGGGTTGCTAAGCCTCTGTTAGGGGAACACGGGGATTTTTGAAAATTTCAGTTGGAGTATTTAATGCGATCTAGCGTGACGGACGGAGACGCAACGCTTAAACAAGTGGCAGGCTAAGTCATTTCAGGTCAAATGATCGGAGATTATATAGCTCAGATCAAATATCTCACAGACAAAACATATAAGGAAAAATGATCTCACGGCTAAATATATCAGGACAAAACAATAGAATGAAAAATAATCGAAGGACAAATGATCTCACGGGCAAAATTTAACAAGAAAAAATAAATAAGGACAATAATTATATATCTGACAAAATTTCAATTATGCCTTTTAATTATCTGCAAAGCACATCTGTCCGAAATGTTAATCAGAAAATTAATGTTAGATGGTTTATAGGTTATTATCAGATGTGTATGATGGCTTGTTTAGTCTTAATCAATTGCAAACTAAATTAAATTATTTATATTAATTAGTCCACGACGACTGGCAATTTTATGTTGGCCAGATCCTTAAAAATTAAATTGGATAATTATAAATGACCATCTCCGATTCTAATGCAGGGCAATTTAATTCAGTTAATTAAAATAGTTTAAGGGTGAAATTAAATGAAGGCGTAAAAAAACCCAAATATCTAGACATAATTACATACATTTAAAAGATAAAGACACAGCCACACAGTTTAGAGATATTGGCACAACTAAACAGTTTAGAGATATTGGCACAACCGTATAGTTTAGAGATATTGTCACAACCACACAGTTTAGAGATATTGACACAACCGTATAGTTTAGAGATATTGGCACAACCACACAGTTTAGAGATATTGGCACAACCGCACAGTTTAGAGATATTGGCACAACCGTATAGTTTAGAGATATTGGCACAACCAAACAGTTTAGAGATATTGTCACAACCACACAGTTTAGAGATATTGGCACAACCAAACAGTTTAGAGATATTGTCACAACCACACAGTTTAGAGATATTGGCACAACCGCATAGTTTAGAGATATTGTCACAACCACACAGTTTAGAGATATTGTCACAACCAAACAGTTTAGAGATATTGGCACAACCGCATAGTTTAGAGATATTGGCACAACCACACAGTTTAGAGATATTGGCACAACCACACAGTTTAGAGATATTGGCACAACCAAACAGTTTAGAGATGTTGACACAACCACACAGTTTAGAGATATTGGCACAACCACACAGTTTAGAGATATTGGCACAACCACACAGTTTAGAGATATTGGCACAACCACACAGTTTAGAGATATTGGCACAACCGTACAGTTTAGAGATATTGGCACAACCACACGGATTAGAGATATTGGCACAACCACACAGTTTAGAGATATTGGCACAACCGTACAGTTTAGAGATATTGGCACAACCACACGGATTAGAGATATTGGCACAACCGCATAGTTCGTAGAAATATTTAATTATTATGAAAAAAAAAACGTCTGTTGATCTATCAAACATTCATTACCTGACTGAACATAATTTCTTGTCGTACTACATATATCTTGTCCCACCAATCAGTCACGTTCCTGTCAAATGAAACTTGATTTCGGAGACCTACAGAATATTTATAATGAATCGAAATTTTAGTAATACACTAGACTACCCGTTATCTAGTTAGATAACTGTGTGTTTCGGGGTTCATCCATAAATGACATTACGTCTGTCACTAATCATCACAAAATAACCAAACCCCACATTCAAAACGACGTCACATCTCGGACGTTTTTGTCTTTTAAAAACACTGACTTTGTCTGAGCATGGGTCTGACAACATAAACTTTTCATATGCTTAGGACACAAAAAACAGGTAAACTCTACTTCACCTGGCAAGTGTCCTCCCAACTTAGACATGTTTTTGTCTGTGAAAACACAGATTTTGGCTGAGAGTGGGTCTGACCACACTATCTCTTCAATGCTGTCGTCACAGTTGAACTTTACACCGACCCTACACTATTTCACCTGCCCAGTGTTCCGCCAAGTCTCAGACAACATGTTTTATCTTTTAAAAAGAGCATGGCTCAGACCACACTATCCACGTTATATACTGAGGACAAAGAAACAGGTGAACTCTACTTCACCTGCCCTGTATCACGCTAATTTCCAATAGGCAAAGGCAACATTATCATTCACAACTAAAAAAAAAAAGAAAAATTAAAATTAAAAAAAATAAAATAATCCCACTGACATGTCTAGAACCCATGCCACCCGCATGGTAACCTAATGTGCTAACCTCATAGGTATCTAGGCTCGTACTCTGATGATGTTAATAACTTATATATTTTACTTCTAAGCGGCGTACGAATCTACGCGAATCTGCCCTAGAATTAGATCTAGAATTATTTCAAATTAAATTTTATCTTAAATTAGCCAATTGCATAGCTAAACAAAGATTTATATAAAATAATTAAGACCTAAAATAGTTTAGTATATTATGATTCTAGTTCTAGATTCTAGATGTAGGATTTACGTTAAATCTGGATCTAGATGTAGAATTTAGATCTAGATCTAGATATTGAGTCTACGTACTACGTTGAGTCTAGATCTAGATCTAGAACCTAGCCTCGATAGATCCCATGCATTCTCGAATTAGATGATCATTGAAGCTAAACAATGATTTATATAAAATAATTAAGGTCTGAAATAGATTCTGGATGTAGAATTTACATTAAGTCTAGATCTAGAATTAAGTCTAGTGACCTAGATTTAGATCTAGATCTAGAGAAATCTAGATTCAAAACTTTTTCTTCCTTCGACAGCTGATCTGTAGATCTAGAGCAGGGGTCTCCAAACTTTTCAGTCCGAGGGCCGCATTAACTATCAAATTTCAGTTCGGGGGCCAGTTTTTTCCAGGCAAGTCGTGACTTTCTGAGCAAGTTCCCCTGCCAACTCCAACAAACGTTTTTTCAGTGGACAAAAAGATCTCCGCGGGCCGGAATAGAGGACCTCGCGGGCCGCATCCGGCCCGCGGGCCGTAGTTTGGAGACCCCTGATCTAGAGAAATGTATTGTATAATTATAGTATTATAAAATAAAAAGAAGTGTTAAAACATTGACAATAGTGTTGAAACGTAATGAAAATGGAAAACGGACGTATTGTTAAAGTTATAGCCGACAGAAAATTAGTTTAAGAAAGCGCTAAACATCCGAATCAGCAACTAAATCTTGGATTGAAGCCGCCATTTATTGTACTAAAAAGTAAACAAATAATGTGACGTCACTATTCCCTCAAAGTAAAGTCAATGTTTTAAACTTTAAAAATTAATGTGGTTAATCTACCTATGAATAAATCAATAAATTAATTAACTTCTTTAAATAAACAGTCTATCTGAAAACAAAAATTGTTCTCTACCTACATACCATTTTCCAGCTCTACACATAATGCAGATTCTCTCCTGTAACCAAACGGACAAACAAAAAATAAATATTAAAACAGGTAAACAAACTAGAGTTTTAATAGTATATAGATAGATAGATTTCCGCCATTCCAGTTGTCCGGGTTACTTCCCCACCAGTCAAAAAACTTGACCGGCTCTTTGCTGAACTGGTAGATCCACGTACCCTCAAGTGCTTGGTCAGTTCCAGAAATCAGCTGGCCTGGAGGGTTATCTTTCTTGACCAGGTCCTGGACAAACTTGTATTCGGCTGCGTCGTTGACCTCCACCAAATACATGCCGTAGGACAAACACACCTTTTCAGCATGTTCGGGATCCAGGTATTGACACTTGGAGAGATAATATTTGTGTCCGTTGTAGGTTTCAGGGGAAAACAAGTTAATAAAAAGTCTAGTGACAATTTAAGCGCAATTTACTTATGTTATCTAAAAATAAATAGTGATCAAGTTTGTTTTTAAAAAATGTGAAAAAATGATTAGGTCTAGCG